GGGAGGGGGAGCTGACTGTTAAACCTTTCTGAGAACTGTAGTTTTGTGAGGAGAACAGGGATTTTCTAACCTGTCAATCATGCTTAAGAAACTACATTTCAAGGCTTCTTTGGGGAAACTGTTTAAAGTGGAAGAATACTGCTTTAAATGTATAGTGCAGATCGGGCCCTGGACAAGCTCAAGAATGTAGCGTCTTCTTTATTCCCAAGTCCTGGACACTTCCATGAGTTTCCTGGGCTAACTCATGGAGTGCACATTTCCCATCCAGCCTTAGAAGCCACCCCTTGGAGCTTGCAGACATTCTTGCAAATGTAGAGGACTCTGATGAAAAAAGGACATTTAAAAGCAACAGTTTAAAGCACACACACACACACAAACTCTGATACTTCTCAATAATAACAAAAGCAGAAGCTCAACTTGACAGGCTGTTCCAATCAAATGGTTGTTTCAAATCAGTTGTTTCTGACACTGATGCTATGGCTTCATTGTGGATACCCCTGTATCACCATCCTTAATGCAATACCCCCCTCAAAAAAGGTAGAAGAAGCAAATTCCTGAGTGGCACTCAGCCTTTTCCACTTAGTTCCATCACACAGCTCCGAAGGAAATGTCAATGCAAGCCTATGGAGACCATAATACTGCTGTATATCAAAATGAAACCTAATCATTGCACATCCTTGCAGATTCATCAATATAAGAACTTTTAAAGAACAGGAAAAAGGCCAACCAGTCTCATATATCAGCCACGTTTAGCATAAAGTTGCCCACAGTTTTCATCATTTTCACTGATAAAATATTCACCAATTTGAGTTTCACCAATGCTGCCAGAGCTTTTATTCTGAGGCTTGCACAGACATCACCTTCCTGCGCTCCAGTTGTCCATCTTTGTACATCTGCACAGCTCTGAAGTCACAGAACAGCACCCATGCAGATGTTAAGCATTATTGGTGTTTGCCAATGAAGCCTTGATAGCCTTTTCTGCCACGAAGTCCTACCGCAATGGGTGATGATGTGAATTTTACAATGTTAGCCCTTTTTATGAAAGAGAGAGAGAATCCCATGTTATTCTTCCCTTGGTTGCAAGGCTCTGACAAATGATCACGAATGCAACTTTGCACAGTGAAATACAAGGGGTCAGATTCTGAAACTGCTGGTGCTGCTTTTGCGTCATTTCCTTGATTTGTGTTTAAATCATAACAATATTGCAACAAAACTTTTTGTCTTTTATATGTTATAGTCTAACTTAACAAACCTGAAGCCTTCAAACACCAGTTTGGTCCGGTATACTTTTAAAGATATAAATTGCAGCAAACATTAACACATCTAGGCTACAATCCTATGAACACTTAACTGGAAGTAATGCACCACTGAGCACAGTGGAATTTACTTCTGAGTAAACATGCAGAGGACTGCACTTCACAAGCTCTATCCGATGGGATAGGGAGAGATAAGCACAGCTCACTAAAAGAACTGCAGTTATACTTCCAAGAATATTCATTGTGGTCCATCTGTTTAATTCTACATACTTTTAGATATTAGAATCACAAGATTGCAACTCATCTATTAGAAGTTTTCAGTTTAGTCACTCCCCTAGTGTAGAAAGGAAATGATGATAAAGTATTTCCTCACCTGAACCAAAAGACGTATTATCAAATTTCCCGTTGATCACTGGGAGAAACGAAAAAGATCATTCATATCCTGCGGTTAACTCTACCCATTCTTATCATTCTAGCAATGTTCTGCTGGGTTATTTTTCCCACGGAGACATGAGGAAATAGACAGATGACATCAATCCATTCCAAGATGACCATCAAACACCCGTCAGATCATAAATAGTCTCAAGCTCAAGGTCTGATTCTCAGTACTGCATTTTATTTTTTAGTAGTTCAATTTTTCATCCCCCTGACCAAAATCACTCAGTTCTGATATTGCAACTAGAGAAGTGGAGCAACTCACAAGTTTAACTGACCCCCACTTTCTCCTCCAAAGTTATGCACTTTTACATAAATGTCTTCCTTCAGCATATACCAGCCTTTCTTCTCCTTCTGCAAGTGTGTGTGTGTGTGTGTACACATAAACACACACATATAAAGGGAATATTCTGGAAGAACGAACTCAGTATTTCAGATTTTTTTAAAAAAATTTTTTACAAAAAAGGTATTGCAATCTTTCTCCTGCCCGCGCACCCACCTGTTTTTCTTTTCTTTTCCTTAATACCAAACATCATACAGAGGATCAAAAGTATGGCTTGAAGCAAAAACTGGACGATGTGAATTGAGTTTTTTAAAAAACAAAATGTTCATAAGATACCCTGCTTTTAGTCTCATATTAATCCTAAGTATATTTATTCAGAAACCAGAAAGAATTTATGTAACAGGTATTTCTTAGGTTTAGCAGGTAATGTGAAATCAGAGGTGCTTTTTTTAAAAAAATGGAAAGCTCCTCATTCAACCTGGAAAAATTAATTTGCGCTTCCTTCTGGCTTTTTTTTTTTCCTTTTTAGAAAGTTCATATAAATTCAACTCAATGCTTTTCTATTAGAAGCACTCCAAAGACACCTGTGTGCAATCCACAGTGCACATTTTAAATGAAAGAACATTCTGAGAAGGGTGATGGGGAGTTGGGAAGAGGGCGGGGGAATGAGCTTCACTTGAGAAAAACTTGTGCTTGTTTAAGGAAAACTACAGCTCATATTAATGCACTGGTGGGTTTTTTAGGTCTGTTATAATGCAAATGCCCATGGTCACCTTAGGCTTCCATGGTATATAAAGAAACAAATGTGTCAGCTTTCTTTCCTGAAGATCTGGCAATTTCTGATCCCAGAATTGCTACAAACTAAAGCAGTGAAACTGATGCTGCAACTTGTACATTTCTCACTATCCGCTGTTTTGAAGGAACAGGTTATGTTATGGCATCCAGCATGGATACAAATTCAGGAGCGTTTCATTAAATCTCTGGTGAACTCTAAACAAGTTGCTGCTTACTGAAGATCTGAAGTGTGGCTAAGAAGTTAAGCATCCTGAAAAACAATAACTTTTCCATCGTGATAATGGAAGTGCCTTTACAAATTTATTTAAAGTATTCTCTACAGACTTACTTGTCTTTTTGCTAACTCTTTGGCAAAATGTTGCCTTTGAGTGGAAATAATTTGGGGGACACTAACGCAATTTTGGTTAAGTCCAGCGCAAGTGAGCATAATATGGACTGTTTCACATGCAAATCTGTTTAGTACGGCGTAACACCAGCATCTAAATAGTAAATAAATAGCCTACTTAAATGATTGAACATAGCTGAAAACAATGAGGGTTTTATTGTTATATACTTTCTGTTCTGATTAACCCAAAGTAACACCTGAAAAAAGAGCATGTATTCATAAATATTCCATGTTGCCGGGGAAATGCCAACAGAAACTGGATTATAAATTGCAACTGATTTTCTTTGAAACATTAAGGTATTACGGACAAACCAACTTTAAAGGGATGTGTCAAATTAAAATAGATATGCATTTCCAATTAAGCTGAGGCATTTCACTTATGAATGCTGCATTTAAGGGGGCAAAATATTACAGAGGATGCATTGTAAAGTGATTAAAGAAAGCACAAAAAAGAGCATAAAGAGAAAACAAACACTTGGGATGTATGTTTCTCTGAAGCTGTTCGTCTTGTAATAAATCAAACCCCATATTAATCTAGCCATGCTGAAAATAGAGATTATGCAGCTAATGATATTAGGGCCCAAACTGGCTGCTACACTTGACGCTAACATGAACTTGGGATGCTGAAAGGACCTACAAGTCCTCCTCCTGTTTGTTTAATTTAGGGAGAGATATTTTGTTAAAAGCAATGAGAAGGCTCAGCCCAGCCAATAAAAGTGCTGTTGCATTTGCAAGTCTTAAAGCTGGAGAGCTCTCGCTTCATAGGGGAAAGAAGAAGTTAATTCATAGGGCACATAAGGCTTGCAATTGTCAAAGTGCAGACATGTCAATGCTATCATTATCAGGCAGATCGGCCAAGCGTTTAATGGTAGAATCTGGAGACATTCACTCTCCACTATCAGAATGACATCATAACTAAAACAGCCTTCAGCATGGAGGGGCACACACCACACCACAGCACTTGCCCACTTTTACACTTTTGATCCTCTGGTTCAATTTTGCCACATCCCTCCTTTCCTTTTGAGAGGCATTTGAAGGCTCTTAAAAATCCTGGTTAAAAACCCTCTTGAAAACCCTGGTGAGTCTTTTTTAAAAAAGAAACTCATACAAATAAATAACGTTTTAAAAACAATACTTAAAAAACAGCCCCATTTGGAGAAATGGACCAGATTTAATATCAGCCACTTTGTTAGGAATAGCTGTCAGCTATCCTCAAATGTACATCAAGATTTCAGACATTTCTCATTACTCCAGTGATCTTTACTACTGTAAGAGGATGAGGTGAAAGGCATACAATTAGAAATCAGCCTTCTACATTTTTTATTACGTGCTATATAGCTCAGTTTCTCCTCTGGTTTTACACAGGTAGATATAAAATAATACAGATGACCACATAACTTTACAGACATGTAAACACACAGACCTTTGAGTAACTAAGCTCTTTATGAACTATTCAATGACAAGGACTCAAAGCAACACGCTTCAGCCTCTGACAACAGCAGCAAGTATACGGAGCACCAATTCCCCCAAAATTACAAACGTTTTAAGCATTTTATTCCCTACACATGCAAATACACAAACACCCCAAGAGCATCACAGCAGGTATTCATAGGCATTGTAAGGAAAACCTCACCTTGTATAATAAGCGATAGGAAGTGGGAAAGTTAGGAAGGCAAAATAAATCATAATCATAGTCATAATAAATTTAAACTCCCAAGGCTACATGAAAAAAAAACCTGCTATTGAGAAGCACCCAAAGAGACCACATAGTGAATTGCAGACCCATCCCAAAGCCCTTTGGCTTTTATTTACACAACCTATTGATGCACTTTCGCAGGTCACTTACTTTTCAGTTATGTTTGAACCCTGAATAATCATGAAGATCGAAGCAGCTGGGTTTGGGGGACTTCTAGAGGTTTTGGTTTGGTTTGCAAATAAGTTTCTTTCAATGGAAAAAAAAATCCAAATTATGCAAATCTGCTCCCCCCGATAGGTAGTGAATATTCAATCAGATGGTGATATTGTAAATACTTCTATCCAACACACCCTTCACAGGGCAGATTTATGAAGCAACGTCACCAGCAACGCTCTGGTCCTTGTTGAAGCATCTCGAAGTTAATTAAAGCTGCAAATGTCCACCACCATCACCACCCCCCTCTCATTCAGGTTTACTATTTCAACATCAAACCAGCCAGGAGATGGTGGGGAAGGCTCCCCCTTCTTTTTATACACTTAAAGCGCCTTCTTCCAAAGTCAGTGAACAATGAACAAAGATTTGAGTGATCGAACGGCACAGAGGGAAAAGGTGGGGGGAATATTTTCCACACAAATAATCAAATCCAGTGGAAACGGTTAAAAATATAGTTGCTAATATTAAACTATGAAAGAAAACATCATTCTCCAAGCCTCGATGTGCAAAGGCGTTCGGCCAACCCCTTACAGAAGAATTTCTTAAAAGAAAAGGGAAAAAGAAAGAGCTAAATGCAGCCAGCCTTCCTTATTCTCAGTCCTGAATGAGCCCAAACAAGGCTCCTAAACTTAATTATGACACTTAAAATAAGCTCCCCCCATCACACACACACACACAAGCAAGGAAGGCACCACCAGTGCTATCTGTGGCAAGCAAAGCAGATCAGCTCAGCAAAGACGGCCCCTGTTGGAATTATTTTAAACTGCACAGAGAGGAGAGAGAGGAGGGAAAACAGAGAGAGAGAGAGAGAGAGAGAGAGAGAGAGAGAGAGAGAGAGAGAGAAATCTTTAAAAGTAGATCCCATGTCCGCCTGTTTCGAGCAGTGGGAGAAAGACACATGCCTGTTTCTCCAGCGGTCCTTTTTCGCTCCCACTTCCCAGGACCGACTCCTTCCTCCGGCAGCCTCTTATCTCCTTCCCCGTTTCCTCATTGTTTGCATTTTGACGAGCAAAAGCAGAGGCAGGCAAACTTAGCGTTGCAAGGGCTCCTCTCCCCCCCCCCCCCAGCTCTCATGTTCTGCTAAAGTGAAAATGAAGGGCTCTGACAACTCACGTCTCCGCCTAGACACTATTATAGACATAACAATATCCGCTCAACAAAAAACCCTCCGACAATAGCACCCATTGCACCTCCAGAGAGCCTCCAGTCCGACCATTCGCTCTCTCTCTCTCTTCCCCCTGTTTTGTTGTTGTTTTGCAAATTTCTATTCTCTCCTCCCCAGACACTTGGAATTTCGAGTTACCTACCAAATGATTACGCATAAAATACCAGCATGGTGGTGACAATAGCCAGGCCCCAACCAAACAACACCCCCCCCAAAAAAAATTATATATATGCATATTTAACTCGTTGATTTAGAGCCTTTGGTAAACTGCGAGGTGTTTGTTTTAAAAACAAAACTTTAAAAAAATCTAATTAAATGCCCATTGTTTTACACAGAGAGAAACAGAGAGTATTGGTTTGCTTTTTAAAGTTTCCCAATTCTAGGTTTCTTTCCTTTCCCCCCTCCACTTGCTCCTTATCTCTCTATTATTAAATAATGGCCCCATTGCAACAGATGAGCACCTCAAGAGCTGGGATTTTTTCCCTACTGTGGCATCAAAGCCTTCTCTTTATTTACATATTTTCTTAAACAACTTTTTAGTGCTGAAAAACATAAGTTGCTTTTTTAAAAAAGAAGAAGTCTATGGCTGTATTTCCCTCCACAAAATAAAATTGATGCAGAGACGAGGAGAAGGCAGCCAACCCCACCCCCCACCCCACCCCGGAAAGAAGACCAGGGGCAGCCACTTCAACAACCTCGCTCCCAAGTCTTCCACCCTCTTCCACCCACCCTGTAAAGAAGGCAAGTCCGAGGTGCTGCTTTTCGTACCACCTGCTTGCAGGAATCGCCCCCACCTCTCCCTCTCTCCACGTTAAGTTTCCCTTTTAACCTGTTACTTGAGGTCGTGTCTCCCAAATGCCCTGGATTCCTGTCTGGCAGGTGCTTGCTGCCTGCTTCCGGTGGGAAGAGGGTGGAGGGGCAGATCTCATGCCTGCTCCTTCTTCCAATTCTCTACTGCCCACCACCCCACCCGCAAAGCAATCCCTTGCCTACTCCCCAGCCCCCCCCAAAAAAAGAAGCATTTTGAACTGCTCCGAAAGACAAGTGCAAAGCCCACCCCCACCCCCCACCGCAACCTCAAGCCCAGGCGCGCTTCTCGCTAAGCAGAGGTCGAGCAGACCCGGGCACAAAATGGCAGGGCTCGCTGCGAAGGCAGCAGCGCGGCAGAAGTTTTGGCACGCGCGGGGCACGGCGAAGAAGCGAAACTTTTGGTCGCCATTGATTCCGGGGCTGGGGAAAGAGGTGTTAAAAGGTTTGGAGGGGTGGTTTGTTGTTGTTGTTGGGGGTTTTTTGCGCGGGGGAGGGGGGTCGCCTTGTTCTTTTTTACATCTCTCGGTTTGCCCCGAAGAAGCCCAAAGAAAGGGGAGAATGCAAGCCGCGCACGTGGGAAAGGAGGCACTTTTGCAGAAGTTTGCATTGCACCAATTCCTTTTTTTAAGAAAGAAAGAAAAAAAAACCTAATGAAAAGTTTCTGGGCAACTTGAGAGGGAGGGGGGGTCTTAAATCCTCCAACTATGTTTATTTTTTAAAAAATCCGAGGGAAGTTTTTGCCTTTCTCCATGTCCCCGGCACATAAACACACACGCGCACACCCCGCGAAAGTAACGGATTTAAAGAGAGACCCAGCCAGAGCCGCGCCGGCTCTCCAGCCTCGCTCGCTCGCTCGATCTCTCCTCCAGGCTAAGTTCTACAGCGCCATGCAATGGCTCCTTTGCTCCTTTCATTCTTCTCTCCCCTGACAGCCTTTGCTCGCAAACGTCACTGCTATGGATATTTAATTATACTGTATTTTTTAATCACGCAGGCCCTGTTGCGATGATGCAAAGAGGGGGGGGGTGGAGAGAGAGAGGGAGAGAAAGGACTCCAAACTGACTTTGGCAACGTCTGGGGGGCACCCTGCTTTTTAGAAAGATAGATATTTTAAAAACTCCGGTCCTCCCCCCCACCCAAATTCTCTTATCTTTTTATCTTTTTTTCCCCTCTTCCAAAAAAATAAAAAAGAGGAGCAAATAAACAACCCAGCAGAGGCGTCCCTTTTGTCTCTCCTTACCTTCCCAATATTTTTTTTGTGTGTTTTGTTTTACGGTACGAGAAACTCCCCTGCACGTAAGCGGAGCGTTGCAAAAAGATTGTGTTCAATGAATAATGAAGCATATCCCCCACATGATTGACTTGATCATTTGCTCAGGCTGAGAAACGCGGGGTGGGTGGCGGGGGGGGGGCGTGTGGAGAGAGAGAGAGAAAGTGACCAAGGAGAGGAACTCCGATCGGCCAGGCTGACTCCCCCGAAATCTTGGCCAGCCATCCCAAGGACGGGGAGGTGGGGGCGGGAAGGAGGTGTTATTTTCATCTGTCGCTTTTTGGGGGGGTTGCAAGAGGACCCCCCTTTTCTCTTCTTCCTTGATAGCGGTCAGGCAACATCGCAAGACATCCCCGGCTCTCTCTCTCTCGCTCGCTCTCCTCTGCTTTGGATTCCCCCTCCCCGATCTGGTAGGTGAAAAGCATTGTAGCATTCAAAAGGCACCACTCCATTGTCGCCTTGGCATAATTCACAGCAACTAGATAGGTCTTGCGGCATTTAGCTTTGATGAGCCAAATGCTCAACCCCTTGATATAATAATCTACAAAAGAATGGGGGCTGGGATCGTCCATTTTCCTCCCCCCTCGCTCGTTCGCTCGCTCCTTTTTCTGCCTAAGCAACTAAAAAAAAAGGGGGGGAGCATTTAACACCGAGCAGTTTGGGGCATGACCTTGAGCCCGTGTAAACACACTTATTAAAAAACCGAGCCGTTTCTCTAAGATTCCCCCCCCCCACATCGCCGCCACTCCAGCCTCCCACCCACCCGTCGCCGCTGCTGCTGCTGTTAAGGATCCAGCCTCGATCAACCCTCTCCCCTCCCTCGCCTGTCATTTTCCCTAAACAAATCCGAAGATCTTTCCCCATTTAGGGGAGGAAAGGAAAAAAAAAAAAGGCAGAGCGAAGAGGGGGGGCTCGAGCAAGCGAGGAGGTGGAGAGGGGGGGTTGAGTATTTAAGCATCGCTTCTTACCTGCTCTGGAAACTATTTCAAGTCTGCTTCTTTGGAAAACTCCAGGGGGAAGCTCAGCGGCCGGCTGGATCGCGCAGCATCCGTCCAAGACGCTCCGGCGCTTAAGAGAAGTAATCAACGATAAAGTGACGTTGATCTGCACTGTAACCTTGTGGCGTATTTAATGTAAATAAGCAGTTATGTTGCCAATCGCACGCATGCAAACAGAGAAAGGTCCTCAGCGTTGCATTTTGATGCTTTCCATTAAGGCTGACTTTATTTACATACACTATTTAGGGGAAAGAGAGGGGGGAGAAGAGGAGAGAGGGAGAGGGAGAGGAGATCATGATGGTACGAAGACAATACTAGTGCCAAATGATTATGAAAATATGATTTTAATTAATCACGTAGTAGGCAAGGAAATTAGCATACGGTAATTAAACTTCCAGGGGAAAAAAAGGGAACGAAAGAAAGAAAGAGGGAGGGGGGAAAAACACGCCATGAAGGTTCTTTTTGCCTTATGGGTCTGGAATAATCGGGGGGGGATATATATAGATATAGATTTAAAATATGAGATTCCCACTCCCCCCTCCTCCTCCTCCTGCGCTCCAATGCTTATATTATAAAGCAGATAACTTTAAAGGAAAAGAAAAGCCAGCAACTTTAGCAAGGTTGATCTGCTGAGGAAGGTCTAGGAAATAGCCCAGCAGAAGGTGAGAAACGGGGAGTAGGGGGTATGTGTGGCTACTGAAGTAAAAGAAGAGAGGGAAGCGGGGCAGAAGGGGGGTCAAAATGGAGTGGGGGGGAGAGAAAGCTGAATAATGCAATTATGGATTCTGTGTCCCATAGTTGACAAAAGCATGGTGCCTCAATAGACTCTTTGTGATGGGATTATATAATGATTGTGGGGTAATTATGGGAAAAAAGAGATTTAGTCATAATAAAAAAAGTATCAAAATACATCAGCTTCTTTTAAAAGGAAAAAGCTAGCTCACGATATTAGGGGCATGTTAATAGGAAGGGGGGCGGTGGGAGAGAGAGGGAGAGAGAGAAAGGCAAGATCCGAACGAGCTGACAAATAAAGAGAAGACTGTGATGCGCATGATTAAGAAGAGATGGAGACAGATTGATTATTCAAAATGCCGAGCCACAGGGACACTTAAAACATTGATTCAGGTAACACTAGTTTCATCTCAACTGAAATGAGTTCCCTGAAGATGACTGGCATACATTTTAAATCAGTTTATGCCGTTAAAAAAAGAGAGTGAAAGAGAGAAAGAAAGAAAGCAGAAACAACATCACAAGCAGAAATCTTCTAACATAAACGCAGAAGTCCATGCAAGTGGAGGTGGGATTAGATTTCTGGCAATTCCCCGAAAGAATAATAAAAGTATGTGAGGGTGTGTTTAATTACTCTCTTCCTTAAATGTTCCCATTATTCCTTTCCATCCGATTTGAGAGGGATGCTTAC